CCCCAGATAAGACTAAGGGTTATTTTTCTTTTCTTTTTGGCCAGAAATAAATATTTATATCAAAAAAGATTGCCAAGATCTGGAAAGTATTTGAATTATTTAATTAGCCCTGTAAAAGGATTTGCTGTGATTAGTGTTTGAATTGGCTAATGAATTTTAATCCTGTTTTATCCCAAATCCATTAGATAGTCATCAACTACAAGGAAGACCTCTGGGAACTTATTCACCAGTCTATAAAGAAAATTCATTGGTCCAAGGTCAAAACTTGCAAATGTATTCATTCGAGTATATGGTTCAGGAGCAGGGGTCCATTACAGTATACCAGTGTCTTGAATGGTGCCTGAACATTATCACAGAGCTTTTCAACCCTGATCCTCTCTCATGGGAGACATGCCTCCTACTATTATCCCACTTGGCCCTTGGAGAGTCTTGACCATTTGCCTCTAAAACAGTCAGGTATAAAGAGACTCAGCTCTGGGATACTTCAGGCTACATCATAAAATAAGCTGTGAGATTATGACAATATAAAATGGCTAACTAGTTTAAATTACATACATCTGTAAAAAAAGCTACCTGGGTTGACTTTGGTCAAGTCATTTCAACAAACCTGAGTTTGAATTCCAGCTCTGATACTTATTACTGATGCAGCACAAATTCAATTAACTAACCTCTCAGAGACTCAGTTTCCCAAATTGTTAATAATGAAAGATAGTAATGTCAAATGAGATCATGGATGTATAGTGTTAGACAAAATCACTATAAATATTGATACAGATACAGATATAGATATAAATATAGATATGGATATAGATATTTGTGTGGATTTATGGATGTGTGTATATATATATATGTGCATGTGTGTATGTATATATGTATACACACATCAGCTAAAACTTTTCATTTTCCTAGGAATTCTTAATGCCTGAAAAGATGTTAATTTGATAGAACAATGTCATTAAACAAGCAGATATTTTGAAAATTTTAATCTCCAATTTCTCTGATTTTAAAATACACATTCATATGATCTATTTTAAAGGCATTAATACTAGTATAATGTAGAATAATGTTTACTAAATGTTTATTAAGTGCCAAGTAACTTGTTTTGTACTTTTATGCACTCTTATTTACTACCCACGCAACCCCGTGCAATGATGTCATCATCACCATTTACAGACAAGGAACTTGTCCTCAGTCACACACTAGTAAGAAAAGCTGGGATTTGAACCTGAATCTGTTTGACTTTAAAATCTACCCTGCCCCACTCTGTGCCCTACTCATCCCCAGGGATGCCCAGCTCTCAAGCTTGGGATGTTTGGCATAATGACAGTCATGGATATGCACTGAATTCTGAATATCTTTGGTAAAAGGCAAAGAAATTTATATTTACAAATTATCTAAAAATTCCCTTAACTTCTGGTTTCAAACCCCCACCACTCCCTGATTTTCTCCCCAGTTGCGAACAAGCCAAGGGCTGGTCTTAGCTCCCGGTGCTCATTTCCCAGGCCTAACAAGCAGTGAAATGGCAGCCTGGTGGATAGAGGAACACAAGGCCTCAGTCGTTACTGGAGTGGATTATGGCCCCATAAATATCACAACACCACTAGTTTTGGCAGAGGTGGCAGTGAGGTTGGCATGGCCCCTGAGCCAAACGTGGCCCAGCGGAGGAAGAAGGCTTTGTGCCCTGCTCCCCAAATGGATGTTCCAGGAAGAAGTCAGATGATCTGAGTTATGGAAACCAAATGGTCCTCCTTTGTTTAGAGAGAGAGAAAGGAAAAAAGTCACTCATTTTTGTGGTAAAATAAAAACAGTCTCCAAACCAAACAACCCTTCTCAAAGCAGAAAATACCAGCTCCCCAGAGTGGGCCCACAGCCTTGGAGGCTGATAAACTGATGGAAGGCCGTGTCGAGCCTGTCTTACAGCCTCGGCAAAGTCCTCAGTCCTCCAGCCAGGTTTTCCTCTGCTTTGCTCCAAAAATAGTTGAACTCCCAGGCTGGAATGGAAAATGAGGGAGAAAGAGAAAGGTCTACTTGACTAGGCCAATCTTGTCCTTTTACTCTGTCCCACTGGGTTGGAGGGAAGGGAGAGGCACTGTGCAGAGAAGGCCCCGGAAGTGAACACTGGCACCGGGGCCTGCAGGCCGCTGGAGTCTCCCTGACGTGTCGCTGCTGTGCACTGACTCGGAGGCCCTCCTCGGCGTGAGCCAGCTCTTCCCACAAAATGTAGCCGGGAGTCACGAGTCCTCCTGTGTCTGCTCTGTGGCTGCTCTGTGGCTCAACGGGCAGCAGTCTGCACTCCCAGGTATTACTAGTGCTTGTACATCAGGGTAAGCCATGGCCGAGAGAAAATAAACGTAAGTTCTAGTCAGCCACGCCTGCCCAAAGTTTGCTTTATTCTCTAATACAAGCCTTTCCTAGAATGGAGAAGCTCTCCATGATGAAAGAATGATAAGGAATTCAGTTCTAGTCCTGGACTGACCTCTGACTTGCTGTGCAACCATGAGTCACTATCATCTCTCTGAGCCTCAATTTTGCATCTGGAAAATGAGCCTAAGTATCCCTGCCTTAATTCACAAGGTCATTGTGAGAAAAAGATAAAGCATAGCTCATATCGAGAGATGGCAACCGGAATGCCTGGGTGTGGATCCAGGCTCCCCTATGTAAGGTTGGGCAAGTTTCTTCATCTCTGTATGTCTGTCCCTCACCTTTAAAATAAAGAGAATAATATCCTTCTCTGATAGCACTGCCAGAAACTTAACTTTAATTATGTGATGTATGTAAGCACTTAGAGGGCACCTACACACTGCCTGCCCCCAGGAGTATCGCTGTCATTGTCATCACAGACGGGAAAACATCTTGAAAATAAGAACCCTCAGCTCAGGTACTGAGTGATCTGCCACGGTCATCCTAAGCTTTATAATTTCACTCAACACACCCTCCCCTCACTTTTCCAGCATTCCATAATCTGCCAACACTAATTCTAAATCTTAGGAGAACCTCCAATAGCTTCTTGCTGCTTTTAGGAAAAATCCCAAAAGCCTCACCATGGCCTACAAGGCTTCAGTCACCAGGTCCTGCTGCCTTTTCTAACCTCATGTTGAGCCATCGTCTCACTCAAATCCAACAGCCTAATTGGCCTTCTAGCTCTCCAATGATCTGGGCTGCTTCCTGCACCAGGACCTTTGCAATGCTGCCTCTCCCCCATTCCATCTCCTCTTCACCCAACCTTCAGGTTTCAGCTTCCAGAGTCTTTCCTCAGGGAAGCAGTTCCTGACCTTCCAGATGAGAGCCCGCCCCCTCCTCCTTTGTGCTCACCACAATTATAATTACGTAGTAGCTACTAGCATGTCAGCTCCTTGAGTGAGGTGCTTCATCTGTTCTGTTCACTGCAAGGCTTAGCACAATGTCTGGCACGTAGTAGATATTCAAAAGAATATTTTTAAATAAAAACAAACATGTTCAATAACTATCTCCCCCTGCAGCTTCTGTAAGATTCATGAAAACAGAGGTTGTTTCTCTTCTCAAAGCTTGTGTCTCTAGCACATAGTAGACCTTCTATAAATAGTTGTCGAGCAAATGAATGAACAAATAAATGACGTGGAACAACCTCCCTAACTTTTCACCCCTTGAAGATTTCCCCAGACATCAGGGGAGACTATAATTAACCATCCTCTTCCTCCTCCCTCCATGAGGACATAGGGCTTAGTTAGAGGACTCAGACGTGTCCTCTAACTCCCATCCCAGTTAGCTCTGTTCCTTAATCCAGGCAAGGAGGGCACGGGGCTTCCTAATCTCCACTGGGGATAGTGTGTCATGTCAGCCACATTCGAATGTCATTAGAGACATCAGTTTCACAACAAATGCCAATAGCGGAATATTGTCCTTCAATTGCATATGTATTCTTTCTATCTTCTAGCATAGGTATTTGTATTCACAGCTTGATATAAAGGACAGAAATTATTCATCTTTGTATCACCTACAAGTCCTACCACAGTCTTTTGTACAGAATATGCACCCAATAAATGTTAGAATATACTCTGTGCGTGTATATTATATAGTGTACATATACTATAGTCCAACATTCAAATACTCCATATAGTATAGGAAGGAATTGCTACTATGCAATGAGTATAGTAACTCTTCAGCTCTGCTTCTGGCCTCAGAATCTGGGACACGAAGAAGTTCTTAAGGAGTTCTTGATTGAAGCTGCTTGAGCTTTCCCAGTCTCTTTTTCCCAGGATAAGAGCAAGAACTTCCTCACTTATGGGGTCCCCCTACTCTAATTCATCTTTCACAGGTACATCTGCTAAAACTTCTGAAACTCATCCTTTCAAGTTTTCCTCCAAAACTTCCAAAGTTCTTTTCATAGCTAATAGACCTGTGTCCAAATCCCTCAGTCTAACTCAAAGAGCTTGGACCATCCTTCTTCTTATGCTGATCTTTTCAAATCCTACTTATGTCCTACCTATGGACATACCTTTGGTTTGCTCTGTCTTTGCTCATGCCATTCCTCCCACCACGAATGTATCTTCTTCATCTCTGCCCCGTAGCATAGCTCAAGTTTTGTGTTCCCTATGACATCACTGTATTACCTACTTAAAGGGAGCTCTCTGTCTTCTGAAGCCAAATGATATTTTGGTTTAGCCACTTCTTGTTTTTGTCAGTGAACTTTTTCCATGAATATGGCTTCTCTCTCAAACTAGACTTAGATCCGAAGCTCCCTGAGGACCAGTCTAATATTTTCTTACTTCCCCTTAGTTATGCCTAGTCTATATTTGCTCGCCAGTTAACTCAGCTGGATGTATGGGGTCAGGGACTAGTACTCAGGCAAGGGAACTTGAGTTCACTCTAGTGAATTTTACAGCTCAAGATGAAAATCTATTTCAAATAGTTATTGCTTTTCGAGTGTCTCCCAGGACTCGGTTGATAGTCTCTAGGAGTCATTGAATTCAAAATTACAAATTTGCCTCACTCCTCTTAATCTGGTGACTTCCTTTTTGCAGATGAGAAGCCCTTTGCTGTGGAAGACACTTATTTGCTGTGTCCAGCACCTATCTTAAAAGAAGTTGGCATGTAAGTTTCCACCAGCATTGAACTTCACAGCCAAGGAGGAGAGGGGAGGTAGAGGGGACAAAGGGAAGAAAAAGAAGTATCTTTCTTTGTTGTCATAAGGGAGCCTTTCTCTAGACTCCTCCAGGTAATGATGATGATGTCAATGCTTATAGTGAGCCAGGCACCAAGATAAATGTTTTGCAAAGGTTATCTCACTTCATCCTCCGAAGTTCCCGACAAACCAGACACTCACATCATCCCAATTTTACGGATGTAGAATCTGTGGCTAAGAGAATTTAAGTAGCCTGCCCGAGGTCACACAGCAGTAAATGAAAGAGTTCGGGCTCAAACCAAGGTCTGTCTGGCTTAATCACGGCTACATTTCTAGAAAGTTCTCACACACGTTACCTTGCCCTGGTAGATGATTATCTCCTCCTTAGAGATAATGAAGCTCAGAAAGGATAAATGGGTCCACAGCTGTTTCAAGGCTCCGTGCTATTTCCTCTACGCCTCTGTGGAGTATCCGGTATTCACCCAGAATGTGCGAGTTTCTCTGAATTTATTTAAGGGAGGAAATCTCATGGTGGTGTAATTTTAATTGCTAATGAGTGGTGATCAATATATTCAACAGAATAAAAGAGAATTAGCACCCTGAGCAAGAAAAGAAATATGTGGGCAAACAGAGAAGCAATGTTTATGAGGGAACACAAACTAGCCTCTCTGTAAACATGTCTATAACGGGCTGAAGATAGAATGGTGGCTTTAAGGAAAAATGCTAAACGTATTCATCTAAATTCAACTTTCGATCACTTGTTCAATTGTAAAGCCTCCAATCTAGTTGCTTAATAGCGGCCTACAGTCCCACTGATTCCACACACTAGCCCTGGACCCATGCGGAAAAATACAAGCTCAAAATGTTGCAGGGAGTTTCGTATAGATGGGAGGACGTAGAAGGCAAATTACTTCATATATTGCTGTACCTCTCTTTGTTTGCTGGATAGTAACAAAGCCACCTCACCAGAATCAGATTGCTAAGAATCCAGATAATGACAACAGAACATTAAGTTTATAGCTTGACCACTTTAACCCCACTAATTTGGACCATTTTTAAAGAATATTTCATCTTACTACAATGTAACAAGTAAATTAAATGGAAGCAGGTTTTGCCCATTGGATGCAATTCCCTGCAATGCAAGAAGAGCCGAGCGCGCTGCCTTGATACACCAGCCGAGTGCATTCTGACGTCTCCCTAGAATGTTAGAGGTGGAGGGGACCTAAAGACTATGCACTTTTTATGAAGGAGACAGCTCAGGCCCCCAAGGGAAGAGACTACAGTCCCAAGGGTAGTTAAGAGCAGAGCCCGCGGGGGACTTATGTGTCCAGCTCTCGGCCCCTTGCTCCTTGCACACCATGCTGAGTGTCCCCGGGTCCTTTGTTGTCATTGCAGGAAGGCTGCACTCCAGGTCAGCATGAACGATGGCCTCTCTTTCATCTCCAGTTCTGTCATCATCACCACTACACACTGTGTAAGTCATCGCCTTTCCTTTTACCAAAAGCTTCATTACCCTTCTCATCTCCCTGGAAAGTTTTCTGGTTCTGCATTCTGTTCACTGAACTTTAATCTCAGCACTGCTAGGCCAGCCACGGGCTGGGCCAGGGGTGTGCTGCACCCCAGACTGTATCAGGAACGCCTGTGTTTAGCTTCTCTGGGTTTCCCACTTCTGCGACTGAGGGTGATACCTGAGCACATCGGCATGACCAAATGGTAAGACAGGCCAGCATCTGTGCAATAGTAAAGGGGGAGGCCTGAATGGAGTGGGTTTAGAAGAAAATGCCCAGAAAGAACTTGGACAGCATATTCTGAAAGCACATCTAAGGGCGTTTTTTCTCTAAAGAGAGCAGGAAAAAATTGATGCAGCAGGAGAGAGCAGGGGAAAGGGATCCTAAGCCATAGGGATTGGGAGGCGGGAGCAGGGACTACATCCCCCTTGCCAGCTCCTCAGACACCCCTTCTCTGGATCCTTCTGTCAGGTAGTTTTTGTTTCTGGCTATACATAAAATCACCTGGAAAGCTTTTAAAAAATATTGATGCCCGAACCTCTTGCCAGACCGATGGAAACACAGTGTCTTGGGTGGGCCCTAGCTTTGGCGGTTCCAAGACTACGGTTGAGAACACTTCCACCTCTGCGGTTGCTCCCGCCCACTGTCAGCGTCTCAGAGCTCAGCCCGTCAGAGGACAATCAGGGCTTCGTTAGCCTGTATACAGACCTCAGCTCCTGACATTTCCAAAATAACCTTTGTCTGAATATTCAGACTCTGCAGCCAAATGCACTTCTTGCATTAGATCATTCTAGAGACTGATGTGTTTGACCTGATGGTCAGCTTAGGCAGATACTGTGGTCACTTCCTGGCCAGCCTTCGGAGGATATGTTGTTAGAACCCCTCAGAAACTGGACTGTGTGCCCTTAACACTGTCCCATGTGGACAACAGAGAGCAAGCAGCACCGAAGCCAGACAAGATAAAAATGAGTTACCTCATGAGTGAGCAGGAAGCCGGGCCTCACGATGGACAGCAGTCCCTCCTAACTGACCCCACTCTCCACCCCTCCCACACACTTTTCATCCCGTGTTAGGAGCAAACCAGGGTAAGCAGGGTAAGCCAGAGCAATGGGTCCAGATGACAGAAAGGTTCAGTTTGATCGAAGTAAGAGAAGTCACAGAGAAGTGTCACCACTGAGAAATGTGTGTGTCTCAAGCATCCGTCAGTGGAACATCAAATCTGGAGACCAAATATGAAAACTGTGTGCACAAGTAGTGAAATTTCTTCAAGTGTACCCTGCCTGATTCTTTTAGAAATTGACTCTTTTGGAACCTGCCAACCTTCAGGAAATGATTAAAATACCCCAAACCTAACAACTCCATTCCAGATTCCTCCCTTCTCTGAATGATCCAAAACCTGGGGCCTGTATTTCTCATCTTGTCTTACCAGACCAGAGAAACACCCATGACCTTGAGGCCATGAGGACAGGGAAATGAGAAGGGGAAACATCTCAGTACTTAACCTGTGGTATGGCAGAAACAGGACTGCAAATTTAAGTCCTGAGCCTGTAAGCCGAGAAGAAAGGGTGTCCTTACTGACATACTGTAAGTGAAAAGAACTCCCAGTAAAGAACTCCCTCTGTATCTTCTCGACTCTCTCTAACCTACGCTTGCCCCTTACGTCTCCTTCATCTGAATGAATGTCACTAGGTTTTCTTTTCAATTGAATTTTGATCAGCACTACCTCATAATATCTGCATTATTCCCCCATTTTTACCTGAGAATGCTGTATGTCTACAACAGTTATAGCCACCTCAAGATATGGTCCACCTATTCCATTTATTCAAGAAGTATTCACTGATTACACACAACGTGCTGAGTACTGTCTTCCATGCTTGGGGTACGTCAGAGAATACATCAGACAAAAATCTCTGTAGTGAGAGGAAGAGAGGAGAGAAGGCAGACTATAAACAACAAATGTAACAAATGAATTATACACTATGTTAAAAGATATTCTATAAGAAAAAAACAGCGGAGTAAGAGGATTTGGTACTACTTGAGTTAGTGTAATGTAGAGAGCTACGTTGAGAAGGAGGAGTTTGTGTAGAGACTTTGAAGTTGACTGTGAGGCTACTGGGGGAAAAACATACCAGAGAGCCCCAGTGCTTAGACCCCAAGACCAGACACCTGGTGGTCAGTTGCTGGAAGAGAGTGAGTGAGGACAATGATGGCAGTTTGACTCAGAAGAGAGCAATGGGAATAAGAGAAGTGGCCAGGGTCAGATACATTTTGAAGACAAATCTAACAAATTTCCCGAAGCATTGGATGTAGGCTTGAAAGGAGAGGAATCAAGAATGGCCCCAGGGTTTCAGCCTCAGAAACTGAAAGGATGGAGTTGCCCTCAGCTGACAGGAAGAAGAACGAAGGAAGAGAAGATTTGGGGTTGAGGGGGAAAATCAGGAGATTGGTTTTACTGTCAACTAGTTGTGCTACCTTGATCACATTAGGTAGTCCCTTTGTGCCTCAATTTTCTAATCTGTAAAATTCAAATAATAATGCTTTACATCTCATAGCGGTATTCTGAATATTACATGAAATGATATATGTAAAGTCTTTGGCAGAAGGCCTGGCTGGTAGTAAGTGTTCAATAAACATTGGCTGTTATTTCAGCGGAAGCTTAGGCAAAATTATTGAACTAATCGAAAGTTCTTCCCAGAGAGTTGGCTCCTCACTTCAAAGACCTGTTATAACAAAGGGACTCTTCTGAGACAAGATGTATCCTTAGGAGTACATGTTTGTCACTCAAACAAGCCCAGATGCTTAAAGAGGACAGATAGGATGGCCAAAATCATCTAGTGAAAGGGACCTATATTCAAATGTAAAACTCCTATCCCCAACAGAGCCCTACACAGAAGCTCAAAATAAAAAGACCGAAGCCATTGCTGGGCAGAATAGAGATATGGGTGGGATGTGTGGTTGCCCAGAATATGAAGTAAGGTCTTGAACTTGCATTTGTTTCTTGGGCAGCTGGTTTGGATGACAAGGTTTTTAGATCAAAGATGATCCCCTGGGTCTGAGTAAAGGGTTAGTATTGTCAGTGCCAGTTACAGCCTGTCTAGTCCCATCACCTGGAACCAAAAATAATTTTAAAATATGTATTTGAGACTTTTCTTTTCTCGCTTTATTTGGTGCCCATTTGGACAACTGTGTCACAAGTTTTTAAGAACCACAATGAATAACGGTTGCCCCTGCCAGGAGCAGAAATTCCATGAAGTTTTACAGGAAAGAGATTTTTCCATCCAAGAACTAAAAGATTCCTATACAAATGGTAAACTTTGTTGAGCTCCATGACTATAGAAAATGGTCAAACAGCCAAAGTCTTCTCTTACCAGCATATTTAAATACATCCATTCTCTGTAGAATTAACTGGCCTCCCTGTTCTTCCTTAGCCTCTAGCAAAAGGTGAAAAAAATCACTAATATGATAGTGTTTTAAGGGAATTATCGAATAGAAGTTTGTCGTTTTGAGAACAGAGCAAGCTAATTCAGTGCTTTAAAGAACTTTTCATGAAAGATTTTCTGCTTTTAAATAAATACCTTAAAATTCTATAATTTCCCACCCAAAGTATACAAAAATCAGAGAATCATTCAGCAAAGATTTCTCAAACTTCAACTATATCTCCAGTGGTCTGTTTACAAGTCACTATTCTCAAGGAACTTAAAATACAGTTGGAGAAACAAGTCCAACAAGCATATAAAAGAGCACATAATAAAGAACAAGATTATATGAGCCAGGTGCAAATGTTATAGGATTTCAAGGAGGGGAGGGAGGATTGAATCCATGAGGAATCACAAGGGTTTCACGGAAGAGATAAAACCCAAGCAGTGATTTGAAAAATGATAATTACAGGTGAAGAAGTGAGGAGAGAGCCTCCCCTGAAGAGAAACCTACCTGAGAGAAAACTAGACATGCTAAGAGCATTGTTTGTGCATCATCCCTCTCAAGGTCCATGAGTCTTTTTCTTTTCCTCTCAATTTCTGGCGCTTTCTAATTTGAGGCCATTTCTCAGATTGGCAACTACTCTCCTAGGATGTACACTTCATACACTTGATTATCCCATATGCAACAGTGAGGCCCAGTTGACTCTTCTCCTTATTAAGTGTAATCAGGATTTGACTTGTATTGGTTTCCAGATTGGAGAATCACTATCTTTGAAGAAAGGAAAGAATCCTAAACTTTGATATAAGGGTTTAAGACCAACACTAAATCAATGGAAAACCTCCACTTCTCCCTATAATTTATATGAAAAAAAAAAAAAAATCCTGGCTACAAACAGTAGCAAGGTTTAGTAAATTTGAGTGGACCCATATCAAGTCACTGTTCAGAGATATTCTTTTTGAATAAAACTAAAAACACAACAAACTCAGCCCTGGGTCCCCTAAACAAGTACGACAGCTCTATAATTGTAGCATAATGGAGGAATTAAGAATATAGGATATTGAGTTGAACATCCTAATTTCAAATTTTAGCCCATCCACTTTTCAGGGTGATCTTGGCCAACCTGAGCCTGTCTGAGAGCCTGTCTTGCATGGTGGTTGTAAAGATTAAAGGTAAAGTATACAAGGGGCTTGAGGTACTGGTAGTGTCAAAGAATGACAGCTGTTCACTGGTCTGTTGACATTCTCTCTTCTTGCCAAGTAAAAGTCTAATAGCCTGTCTCATTAAAAGATTTGCTGTTTATGCCTCTTAGATTATAAACAGGCAGTGTTTCCCTGATTAAGAGGTATATGCTTCCTTTTGAGTCCATGATAAGCCTAGGAACAGGCTGGCAAAAACTTCAGAGATGTTGCCTGCAGGATAACAAGGGAAAACAAAACCAGTAAATTAGATCTGGTGATAAACCAAATGGGATTAGGCAGCAGTTACTTCACTATTTTGAAAAAAGTGTTTCTCGGTAAATGAATTAGGTAAAGAGTAACTTAAGGAG